CCGCAATTTCCCCATTTTCTCTGCCAACATATCTCTGGTTATATATTCAGGATGTGGCACCGACCTTTCTTGAACATTCCCAGAGTGGGATTCCTCATGTTCAGAATGTACTCCAGTCCAACCCATTCCCTAAGACTGACTTCTTCCTCTGCCTCGTCCCCTTGGTCTTCCCCGATCTCTATTTTCAAACATACTAGTTGGAAGATTAACAGGTGATTCTTCCCTTTCCTCAGATTCTGGGCGATTCACTCTTTCAGATCTTCTAGTTCGGCTAGACATCTGCAGAGTTTAGTGTTAATAATCACGTATTCATATTCCCAAATATAATGAAGTATTCAAGTTCAGATGTGTACCTGTAAATTCATAATTACACTGGCCAGATGTAATTAAAATTTACCTTATGCACTGTTCTTTTAACCCATCATATTTATTTCCAATGGAGTTAACTATGTCCGGGACCCTTAACATGCAATAAAACAGTTTTAAGTCTAGGTATCCTGTTGTTAAATACCTAAATCCCTTAAACTCAGGCTCTGATACCACTTTGTAACACCCCCAAACCATATATTGCATGTAACATATATTTCATACAAAATAAATACATGATATTATCCCATTCAGGTCCCTTAGTACAAGAATCTAATATGACCAAATACAAGGTCCAAAAATTCTAATACATCACTTGAATTAATTAATCAAAACTATACACCAAAGCAGATCTTCAAGTAGAAATGCATATAGGAAAATATTATGTTTTCCCCTTACCCTTACTGTCGGTACCTCCTGCAACACATAGTTAAAATCACAAAACGAGGGTTAGACCGAAAGGTCTAGTGAGATACCAATTTATGTCATTGCAGGGTGAAAAATCACCAAAACCTTTACGGAAAACATCATTTCATATATAAAACAGATATATAAATAAATAGAAACAAAATACCAAATCTTTTCCACTTTTCAAGCAAAGTATTCAGCTTATTCAAATCTCATAATTATGAACAAATCAGGTTTCACATAATGCCTCTTTTAAACCTTTTCTTAATCAAACAAGGTTATATAAAGTTTCAGGCCAAATCTGACGTTTTCTCCTCAATAATATTCAAACTATGATTTCCAATAAGAACCTTGATCCTAAATCTTTAAATCACAAACAAATAAAGA